TATTTCTGGGGCGATTATTTCTGTCTCTAGGCGCAACGGTTGTCAAGATTTTGCTTCCTCAAGATGCCTTCTTTGCAGGGGCGCTCACTTGATGTTCGAGACAAATACACTATGATCCCCTTTTCACAAGGTCCTCGGTTTTTCGCTTTTTTACGGCCCCATCAAGGACAGCAAACATCTCCGATTTTACAACTTTTGTGTTAGAGAACCGGCCCTGATAACTTAATCCCCTTGAGGTTGCCTACTTTCCAGGGGCTCCAACTTTTAATAAAACAAACTATCTTGGAATGGTTAAGTACAGCGTAATTAAAACACAAAGTCCGTCTTCATTGTGGCAAAGGTGAATTCCCGCTTTTATTGCTTTCTAGCCCATTTTTAACAGAAAACTTTTGGGGTAGAATTTTAGATTGTAGGGCACTGCTTATGACAGTCAGGGTCCATTTATAGTTTTTATACATAGCTATACGGCTTGACAGGTACGCATTAATTCGTTTGTCAAGATAAAAAATTCTTCAATAGAAATCTTCTCTTCAGGAACGATGGCCATTTGTACTTTGTCACTGCTGATGAATGAAGGGCTGCTGCGTTCGTCACCCCACTAGCCATCACAGCTCCTCGCTGTAATTGGTGAGCAGTGCGATTCAGGCTAGATGACAGGCGCTGCTGTTTTGAAGACGGCAAAGTCATTTCACATCAGCTGCTGACTGCGGCCAGGACAACGACTCCAGGGGAGCCCGACTTTCGACGCTTTGACTCAATGCCAACCCCTTTTGACTCACTCGTCACGAAACATTGTGTACCAGACAGCTTCTGGAATTGTTGACCGCGGCGTACACCGCCCGATTAACAGGCGGCTAGGTCCTACTATCGCTAACCAGACCGCACTCAGCGGGCCGAAGGCACGCAAGGGGGGTCTGGGGGGCGAAGCCCCCCAGCGAGCGAAGCGAGTCATACTATATGCCCGTCCCTCCGTCATTTTTTTACAAAAAAATAAACGGGACGGGCCAAAAAGGGACATATGATGGTACATTTAAATTGCAGGACAGATTAAGTCGCGTCGCGTGACTTAGCCAGCCGGGACATTTTGTAGAGGCCGTTCACTCACTGGCCCAAAATTATTGGACAATACGGTAGAGGACATTTTGTACCAGCCATTTCTTCCTGACACCGTGTCAAAGTAATTTATTTTCTTCCCCTTGATGAGCTGCATGTGGAATTTCCCACAGTGCCTAATACTCTAAAATGTTTCTGGGACGACGGGCGATCATCTATTGCGAAAAACATTAAATTAATAGGGGGGACGTTCCAGGCGGGGGACGCTCCAGACGTTCCCCTCCAATTGTGCATTCATATATTTGTTGCTCTCAAGGGATACTTTTGCTCAAATTGTTTACAGCAAAGTGTAACTTAATAACAGGAAAAGTAGCGATATACATCGGCAACTTTGGCCCGTCCCGTACATTAAAAAACGTACGAATTTCGCCTATGTTCGACCCTGACGGGAATTAAACCTGAGTCTGGGGTTAAAATAAATGTCGTTCTTGTCATCAGCACCCTCAAAAACATCAGAAACAATGCAAAAACTCGAATAAACAGAACATTCCAAAAATACCCCGCTGGGATTTGAACCCGGGTCCGAACTTCTCCGATTCACGCGAAACTGGCACCATTGGTTTTCTCTCGTCGCCCCGATTCCAAAAACACCCCTACATGCCCTTCTAGCTGCATCCGATGCCGAAATCCTCCTCGACCCCATGTGGACCATGATGCACCTGCAGCAGCGCCCCTGGGGCTCGGATCGGATTTGCTGCCACCGGGCGGTTCTTAGGGTCACCCAAGGAGGTTGCATACCAAATTTGGTCAAGATCGGACCACGGGAAGTCCTCGGACGGACGGACGGACGAACGAACGGACGCACAGCAGGGATCATACTATATGCCCGTCCCTCCGTCATTTTTTTACAAATAACAGGAAAAGTAGCGATATACATCGGCAACTTTGGCCCGTCCCGTACATTTAGAAATGTGTGAATTTTCGCTAATGTTTAACCCTAACGGGATTTGAACCTCAGTGTGGGGTCCAAATTTATGTTATTTTCGTCATCAGCACCTTCAAAAACATCAGAAACAATGCAAAAACTCGAGTAAAAAGAATGTTGAAAATATACCCCACTGGGATTTGAACCCGGGTCCAAACTTCTCCGATTCACTTGAAACTGGCACCGTTGGTTTTTTCTCGTCGCCCTGATTCCAAAAATACCCCTACATGTCCTGCTAGCTGTATCCGTTGCCGAAATCCCCTTCGACCCCATGTAGACCATGATGCACCTGCAGCAGCGCCCCCGGGGCTCGGATCGGATTTGCTGCCACCGGGCGGTTCTTAGGGTCACCCAAGGAGGCTGCATACCAAATTTGGTCAAGATCGGACCACGGGAAGTCCTCGGACGAACGGACGGACGGACGGACGGACGGACGGACGCACAGCAGGGATCATACTATATGCCCGTCCCTCCGTCATTTTTTTACAAAAAATAAACGGGACGTGCCAAAAATAAACGGGACGGGCCAAAAATAAACGGGACGGGCCAAAAAAAGAAACATTTAAATTCAACAATAGTTTTAATTGAATAGTAAAGCAAGTTCTTATTTTCAAGACACTTAAAGTTCCAATAATGTACAAATAAATAAAGAACTTACAAATTAAAGAAGAACTTGAATGAATGAAAATGTACAAATAAATGATCACATAAAGATGCACTCATTGGCAAACAAAATATACAAAGCTACAAATCAGTATCAGACGATGCAGCTGAATATGATTGCTCAACAATATCAGTTCTTGCCTTGTCTTTTCTCCTCTTCTTAGCAGCTAAGTTTATTGCAAACACTTGAAGCGTAACAATCACAAACATAAGATTTATTATTTTTGATTTAGTCATTACCATGGACATTGCATGAAACCCATTCAACATTAACAATGCCAATTTCTCGGATAAGTCTCTGAAGTGCATCAGGTAAATGTATCAAAAATCTGTACACTGGTAGCCAACGAATGTGACATCACATTCGTTTGAACGTGAAAACGGCGATGTCAGTTTGAACGTGACAAACAGAGAAAATTCATACTCAAACGAATGTGACACACCGCACCGCTCTGTCACATTACTTCGGGTGTGACACGAAGTCAGCAGGCAAACTGTCACATTAAAACGAATGTGACACTTGGTACCCATTGACATACATCGTGTCACATCCAAACGAATGTGACACCCATATGATGTCACGTTCGTTTGAATGTGACATGCCCGAATTGTCACATTCAATTGAACGTGACACGCCATAACCTGACACTTATGGCGTGTCCGGGGCGTGTCACGTTCGTTTGAATGTGACAATTAGGGCATATCACATTCAAACGAACGTGACAGCATATGGGTGTCACATTCGTTTGGATGTGACACGATGTATGTCAATGGGTACCATGTGTCACATTCGTTTTAATGTGACAGTTTGCCTGCTGATTTCGTGTCACACCCGAAGTAATGTGACAAAGCGGTGCGGCGTGTCACATTCATTTGAGTATGAATTTTCTCTGTTTGTCACGTTTAATCTGACATCGTAGTTTTCACGTTCAAACGAATGTGATGTCACATTCGTTGGCTACCAGTGCATTGAGTGACTGAAGTTACACGGTGAAAACGGAACCTGGTTTTCCCAGGAACTCCCTGGAAATCGCCTATGTCTCTACCATAGGCTTCCTGGGAAAACCAGGTACCGTTTTTACCGTGTAGTGTCTCTGGACCTTCAGAATCTAAGGTTTCTGTGGCACTCTCTTCATCAGGCAGATAACAATTGTAGAAGAGATTGAAGTTCCTTAATCTTGAGCATTGCCTGCTTGTGCTCCTGTTTCAGAACAAGAAGTAAAGAAAGCTAAAAACACAAAGTGCTGTATAATATCAATCAATTGATATTAAGGCCAGGGACAGGTGAAAAAATGATCTCAGAAACTGCTGGTCCAAAACTTCTTATTTTCTGTCAAAATCTTACTCCTTATGAAAAACTATTTCACCCAAAATCCCATCCCATAATATCCAGCGGTTCCTGAGATGCAGGCTTTTTTATAATTTTGTAAGTGTTTGTTAAAAAATTCCTGTGCGTTTCCCATTTTGGTTTATGGACCTGACCGACATATTTTTTTGTTCGTCTAAGTCCAAAGAACAAACGCAAGTGACAAATTTTAGTTTCCAGCACTCATAGCAAAATACCAAATTTTCAACTTTGACATTTTTCAAAAACCAAAGATTTTCCCTTTTTTTGTAAAAACCAATATCCAAAACCATACTTCTGGGTGGAATATACAAAAACTGTCACTTGCGTTTCCTCGCAATAACCTACTGAGTCAGTGGAAAAAATATCATTGACGACACTTCAAACTGTATGCGCACAGGACCATTCAAATGTTAAAAAAATGTCTTCGGAGAAAAGGTCGTTTAAAGTTTGGTGACAGATTTTGATGGATTTTCAGCCATAAAAATCTTCTTGCGCATACTATTTTGTCGTAAAAGGTTGACATGGATATTTTTCACTTCTTCGATTCATTTTTAAAAGATACCAGCATGCACAACTGAAAATGTCCATTACATTATCATTATCAGAAGCTTTCTCATGGTTGCCACGCACCTGGAAAACCGGGAAAACCTGGAATTGTCAGGGAAAATGAAACCATGTCAGGGAGAACCGGGAAAACCTGGAAATGTCAGGGAAATCCGTGAAAGACTGGCCAAAATCCGAGCTTTTTTGCCAAAAAGTCAAAATGTGGCCGCCCGCTGGATGCGAAGTTTTAGTTTCCGACGTAACAACGTGCCCCGTCTTTCTCTCTCACTCCCTCCCCTCCTCGTGCCCTCGCCGCCGGCCGCGCGCCGACTGCGCTCGGCTTCCCCCCCTCTCCCTCCTATCCCCTCGCCTGCCGCGTCGCAGTAGCCAGCATTGTTGCGGCTGTCCCCACCTCCCCGCTTCCCCGCTCTCCCGCCGTCTGGGCGTCAGACAGGCTGGCGCGTGTCCGATTTCTGGCGTAGTGCAAAGAAACATAGTTTGACAACTCGACCATCGCTTAGGTAAGTTTTAAGTTTTACTGACCCTATCTGTTGGGTACTGTCTAGCGGAACAGTGCATTAGTAGCAGCGTTCTGTTCTCTTTCAGGCGTCAATGCACGGTTCAAGATGCCGCCTTCTAGAAAGATTGCGGGAAAGACGACCTTCCAAGATGATTGGCTTCAGGTCCCAGAGTTCAAGTTTATCAGGCGGAAGGAAGGGGACCCATACTCCGCCCATTGCTCATTGTGTATGAAAACTTTCGGCCTAAGCAACATGGGACGTCAAGCTGTAGTTAGCCATGTCGAGGGCAAGAAGCATACTGGAAAGTTTAAGAACTGTACGGGAAGTTATGGCATGCAGCTCTTTACAACACAGAAAGAGAAGGTAAGTCGCTTGTATTTTCTCGTACACTTCGCGGCGTGTTTCTTCTCTTCCGTAACCGCAAATTTTCGATTACAGGAGTCATCTGCACTTCCGGCGTCGGCTGGCCCTACTGCAGCGGAAACGGATCCAGGAGTGGCGACGGCGGATCGCGCGACGTTGAATTCTGCTGCTACTTCCGGTGAACTTACTGCTGCTTCCGGTGAACTTACTGCTTCGCTGAGACCTGCGGGCGGCACTACAGAGGCACCACACGGTCTTTCCCACTGGATTCAGCGTGAAGAAGTCACCCGCGCAGAGATCATCTGGTGCTTGGCAAGTGTGCTTCATCATGTCTCTCAATCTGCTGCCGGACAGTGTATCAGTTTGCTCCCTTTTATGTTACCGGATAGCCAGATAGCTAGTAAATTGCAACTGGGCAGGACCAAAATAGGGTACGTGATAAATCATGGATTGGGGCCTTTTTTTCATGACGTAGTTGTTAGGAAAGCCATGGAAAGTGATTTTGTAACTGCATTTTTTGATGAGAGTTTGAACAAGAGTTCCCAAAACACTCAGATGGATTTTGCCATTGGGTTTTGGGACAATGAAACCAATAGGTTTTCTGTTCGCTATTTCTCCTCTGCATTTCTGGGCCATACCACTGCAGAAGATTTGTTGGATGCTTTTCTTAAACAATTGAAGCCTGCATTTTTTAAGAAGCTGTTAAATGTATCTATGGACGGCCCAAATGTTAATCTTAAGCTTATAAAGGACTTAGAGGTTGAAATGAAAGCCAAAAATCACCCTGAAGACCCTCTTTTTTTGTACATGGGTTCTTGTGGTCTTCATGTTGTCAATGGGGGATTCAAGACTGGAGCCAAAAGTGCTGGCTGGGGCATTGTTAATGTGTTGCGGTCAATGTACAATTTCTTCAAGAATGTTCCATCTCGTAGACATGATTACATTGTGTTTTCAAAGTCTAAGAATTTCCCTCTGAAGTTCTGTGCGGTGCGGTGGCTTCATAACGCTGCTGTAGCTGAACGAGCAATTGCCATCTTGCCTAATCTTGAGAAATATGTAGAGGGAGTGAGGAAAGCCAAAAAGGAGAAAAATGTAACTACTCCGTCGTATGAAACGATCAAGACAGCCCTGAAGGACAATCTATTGACTTCCAAGTTAGCATTCTTTGCAAGTATTGCAAACATGCTTGAGCCCTTTCTGACGGAATTCCAGTCAGATAAACCAATGGCCCCATTTCTCTTCTGCTCCTTGGAAGGGGTTCTGACTGATCTCATGAAAATCTTCGTCAAGAAAAAAGTTCTTGCGGAAAACAATGACCTTCACAAGGTTGACTTATCTGATGATAAAAATTTGATCACAGCCAAGGACATAAGTCTCTCATTCAGTTTTTCAGTGAAGGATGCGCTGATGAAATCCAAAGCCACAGAGCTAGAAAAGTTACAATTCAAAAATGATTGCAGGACTTTCTTGAAATCTCTGTGCACTAAGCTACTTGAAAAGAGTCCACTAGCATACGGCCTTTGCCGTGGTATCTCATGCCTCGATCCCGGCCTGATTGGAAGCCGTCAACGGGGCTCGACCACAATTTCTGTCCGTCTCCGCCTTGCTCTATCTCAGTTTGTTGAAAGGAAGTGGCTATCTTCAAGGCAATGTGATCAGATCACAAAGGAGTTCTTGGATTTAGTTGGCACACGGGCTATTCATGACGAGTGCAAGGATTTTGACAGAAGAGTAAAGCGTTTGGACGATTTCTGGATGCAGATTCTTTCTGAAAAACGGTGCTCTCAAGATTTGAAGCTCTTTGTGAAGCTTTGCCTAGGGCTCAGTCACGGGAATGCCTCTTTGGAACGTGGCTTTAGTGTCAATAGGGAGGTTGAAGTAGAAAACCAAAAAAATGATTCCTTGGTGGCCCAGCGCCAAGTGTATGATGGAGTGATGGCCGCAGGTGGCATTCAAAGTGTTAAAATAACCAAAGAGATGATAAGCAAAGTGCGATTGTCAAGAAGTGAGTACATGAGTTCCCTTGAAGAACGGCGGCGAGAGTCAGAGAAAACCGATCAAGAAAGGCTGAAAAATAAACGTTTGACTGACCAAATTCACGAGCTTCAAGAAAAAAGGAGAAAGGTCACTGCGGATCTGGAGAAGCAAAAGTCAAGCATTGATGATGAGATTGCAATTCTCTGCGCCCAAAAGACTTAGAATTTAAGACAAACTCTGTAAAGTGTTATTTTTTTTATGTATTTTTTTCCACACTGTGATTTTGTATGTTCACTTGATAATGACGAACAAACTCTGTAAAATTTAATTCTTTATGTTTTCACTCTGTGATTTTGTAAGTTCCCTTCAAAATGACGAAATAAAGTTCATTTTTGTACTCGGCATTTGTTGATGTTTTTTCCTCTTTTTGCACATCCTTCCCACGCGTGACTACTCCCTCGAAAAATTGGTCAAAATGTCAGGGAAAATGGCAAAAAAGCCTCTGGAAAACCTGGAAATGTCAGGGAAATCCGAAATTCTGAAAGCGTGGCAACCCTGTTTCTTAAGCATGCATTTCACTTTAAATGCTCAACAATGAACAAAATAGACAAGTTTTAGTGACTTCTTAGATGAAAAAAGCATGTGATTACTAATATAATGGAAATTTTGAACTAGGCATGCTGGAATCTTTTTAAAATGAATCGAAGAAGTGCAAAATGTGAAGATGAGCCTTTTACGTCAAAATAGTATGCACAAGAGGATTTTTTAAGATACGGCTAAATAAAGCCAAAACAGTCCAAAAAAGACAATTCGACTGGGTTCAAGACCTGGCATATGCCTTCAAAAATCAAATCTTAGTCTCTTCAGGAGCTCATGGTCTCTTTGAAGTATGATTTCATAATCCCAACAAATTATGACAGTGGGGTTCATTTTGAAAATGGCAAGATTTTCACCAGAACCTCCCCTTGATGGCAAAACGGACAATTTTACTAAAATGTCGGAAATGCAGGAGTATGCGAAAAGATGTATTTTAAGCACTTCCAGGTCCCGGATAGTCGAAATCCCGACAGATCCTGAAAGAGGAAGGTCCAAAGGACCATTTTCCACCCGGAACTCATTTCATTAAATTTCACCAAACTTCCTCATTTTTTCACCTGTCCCTGGCCTTAAGATGAAAGGACTCGTTCTTTACTATTATGCAAATGAAAAGTGAATTGTAAATGATCTACATCACCTCGCTTATCCTGCCCCTGTTCAATGTGTTGAGAGAGGCTCTGCCGCTCTACATTGTGTTTTGAATTTCGCGCCCCCGCTTCGGCACCCCCGGATGGCGGAGCGGCCTGGCGAAGTTCAGCCGAAGCTTATTCAACACGATCTTTAACCTGATATTTCTCCGAATTTATCATTGTGCGTGATAAAAAACATTCCAGGTTTTATATTAACTGAATATAGGAGTTCATGTTCGTAATGGTTAATTTAAGGGTACCATTATTGGTGAAAAGATATAAGAGGTTGAAATGAGGTTAGTTTCGACACCGGCCCCAAAATCTCGTTTTTTACATGTTCGTTTTCTCAAAATTTTCCATTGAAAGTCGAAAAACAATCCGTTTACGATTTACTGACGGACTTCTGCACTTCAAAATGATACCATTGTCTTTTCTGTACATGTTGTAAGTTCTGAGATGAATGATATCCTCTGAAAAAAAAATTTTGAGCACAATACTCGTTCTCTTTACAAGGTAGGTGTACGCCAGACCGTGTCTGGTCGTAACAGGCTTCGCGATGCTGCGCCAGTTTCGACCATCCACGCCTGGTGTATTCACCTACCTTGGCCTGCGGCGCTAACCTGCCTCCGGCAGGCTGCTTCCCTAGGCAGGCCGTAGAGATGGGCGTGATCCCCTCAAAAAATAGTATTTGGTCATCAAAATCCACACCAATGGGATTTAACTTTCGATCGGTGGCCCGAACGGGTTCTATTTTCGTCATCAGCAGCCTCAATAACATATGAAACGACATAAAACTTGACAAAAAGTTGAAAGTACCAAAATAGTTGTCTTTTTTCTGTCGTTTTTTAAGTGTTTTTTGGCTGATATGACCGAATGGATTGAGATAGTAAGCTGCATTTTGGTGTGTGGCGAGCCACGGACATACCTAATGACCCTGCAAAATCTCAGCCAGATCGGCTGAGCCGTTCAGGAGGAGTAGTGCACACACACACACACGCACGCAGACAGACAGACAGACAAACAGACAGACAGACAGACAAAACTTTTCAACCCCACTGGAGTAACGGGCTTCGCTATCGCTCAGCCAATTTTACCACTTTTCATTTGTTTGTGTGTAAAGAACGAGTAAAAAAGGGGACCGACCGACTAACAATTTTTATTCGCCCTATCGCTAGGTCTGGTCGAGACATTTACAAAACTGTCCCGCAATCGGGTCCCCGTCACCGGCAACATCGTCAAAACGATTAAATAGGCCTAAATTCAACAAAATCTACTCAATCTTCAAAAAAGGGGACCGACCGACTGAAAATTTTTTATTCGCTCCATCGGTAGGTCTGGTCGAGACATTTCCGAAACTGGGCCGCAATCGGGTACCCGTCACCGGCAACATCCTCAAAACGATTAAATAGGCCTAAATTGAACTCAATTGCACTCAATCTTCGAAGAAGGGGACCGACTGACTGCAAATTTTTATTCGCTCCATCGGTAGGTCTGGTCGAGACATTTCCGAAACTGGGCCGCAATCGGGTACCCGTCACCGGCAACATCCTCAAAACGATTAAATAGGCCTAAATTGAACTCAATTGCACTCAATCTTCGAAGAAGGGGACCGACTGACTGATAATTTTTATTCGCTCTATCGATAGGTCAGGTCGAGACATTTCCGAAACTATGCCGCGATCAGGCCCCGTCACCGGCAACGTCCTCAAAATCATCAATCAAGAACCTATATAGCCCCAATCTGACTCACTCACTAATAGAAATGTTTAGGGTCAAGGGGTGGTAGTAGAGACTGGCGGTTTTTTCCATTCACCTTTATCCTTGTCAAAGCAGTCTTCAATATTTTCCGGACCTTGTATGCACCCATTGACTGCCACAGTAGCCAATTCAATGCAAGCTATCTATTTGGGCAGTAAAAGTAGCTTAATTATATGGTGAAAAGCTGTTAAATAGACCTTTTAAAGAAGCAGTACATTTACTTCCTTAGAAAATTTGCCTTTGGTCACCACGGACTTACTGAAAATACTTCGGCACGCGCCCCACACATGCGGGGGTCTGGGGGCGGAGCCCCCAGCGAGCAGCGCGAGTCAAAATATATAAAGGTAAGGTCGTTCACAGAGATGACGAGAAAAATATTTCATTTCACATTTTCGAAGTAATTGAAGTTAGAAAAATGCACAGCCGACGTGCTCAGATCGTTTCGTCTTACATTCAGAAGTACCATTAAACTTCGCTAGCAGGAGCATCTACCATGTGCACTTCTTTCAAAAAGTTCACAGTGTAATGCAGTTTAATGGCTCGGTTCACTCCGGTTCGAAGAATTACGAACTTGAAGTTGGCATTTTTGGAAACAATAAAGCCTCCGCGCAGCGATGCAGGACACTCTCATTTACAATCAGTGGCCGGCCGGCCGATCCAAATGGTCACGTTCGAAAACAACGTGTATGATATTGTAGGAACTCCTCCTGCAGTACACTCAAAAAAGCTTGCGAAGAAAGTGTTCACATTTCGAGGAAATTTTTTCGCACACTGCGAGGAAAACAGGGTCATTGTAACGCGAACAAGTTCTTTGCAAATGTACGAAGGATTTTCTTTGCAAGTCTGTGTATAACTTCTTTGTAGATTTGCAAAGAAATTTTTCGTAAACTTGCAAAGAAAAAATGACCCCCCCCCTATTTACTAATGAGAAAGTGATGATAATATGCTGTAGAAGGACTTAAATTAAAGTGGGGACTGGCGTGGCGAGGCGGCGTGGCGGGCCAGGACGACGACGACGACCAACCACAACCGTGCAGTCCCCTCCGAGCGCGCTGAATGGATGGATGGATGAGATGCGTGGGCCCCTTAAAAAGTCAATACGAGTCTGAGAATGTATGGATTGTCAAAAAGAGTAACCACAATTGACCTCTTAATCTGGTCTTGGGCCAGTTTTCTTAACATGGAATGACCAGTAGCTGGGGTGCTTCCTCTTGCATTTCCTGTTCATATCTTTACTAAGATTCTCCAGCCCGCTGGTAGTGTGCACGTGGCGGTTCCACATTGTCAGGTCCTCAGCGGGGACATTGCCCTCAATCCACTGCTTCTCGACACTGTAGAAATTTCATGAACTTGGGCCGCAGGGCGAAAGATACTTCGTCGAGAGCATCTTTTTTGGTCTTCTCGAAACCCTTCGATATGAAGTTGGCGGGCAGGCGGGGAAGGCAGTATGCCCTATGGAACATTCACTTGGCTTCTGGCAAGGCTTCTACCCCTTCCACTGGGTAGGGTAGAGCATTCAGGCTGGTTGTGGTGACGCACACCTTGCAGCCGACGTCCCCGTGGCCTATGCACCGGAATGCGTGAAGGAGGTACTTCTAGGCCTCCTTGGTGCCGCGAGCCGCGGCCTCCTTGAACTCTGGAGAGTTCCCAACGGTGGCCACCTTGTTGCTAAAGGCAGAGCCCACACTGCAAAAAAAATCCATCTTAATTTTAAGAAACTAGTTTGTGAAGCAGTTTCAGCGGCGTCGGAAGTGGGGTGCAGGGGGGTCAGGCTGCCCCCCCCAAAATCCAGGCCCGCGAAGCGGGCCTTTCGGGCCCGCGGAGCGGGCCTCACGCGCCCGCGAAGCGGGCTCCACGCGCCCGCGAAGCGGGCTTAACGGGCCGGCGAAGTGGGCTCAACGGGCCCGCGAAGCGGGCCTGTCGCCCTGTCGCCTGCCGAGGTAGCGTGTCACTGGCCCACTCGTGGGCCGCGAAGCGTGCTCCTCGCCAGTCTACAGCTCGCGGAGCGTAGTCTACAACGCGGAGCGGGCTCCCTGCAAACGCAAAGCGGGCTCCCTACTCCCTGCAAAGCGCAGCGGGCTCCCGGGCTCCCCGCAACGCAAAGCGGGTTCCCTATAAAACGAAGCGGGCTCCCCGCAACGCAAAGCGGGCTCCCTACAACGCGAAGCGGGCCCCCTGCCAAGCGAAGCGGGCTCCTCGCAACGCCATGCGGGTTCCTTGCAAATCAAAGCGGGCTCCCTACAACGCGAAGCGGGCCCCCTGCCAAGCCAAGGGGGCTCCTCGCAACGCCATGCGGGTTCCTTGCAAATCAAAGCGGGCTCCCCGCAACGCAAAGCGGGCTCCCTACAACGCGAAGGGGGCCCCCTGCCAAGCGAAGGGGGCCCCCCGCAATCGAAGCGGGCTCCCTGCAAATCGAAGGGGGCCCCCCGCAACGCGAAGCGGTCTCCCGGCAAAGCAAAGCGGGCTCCCTGCTCCCTGCAAAGCAAGGCGGGCTCCCTGGAAAGCGAAGCGGGCTCCCCGCTAATCCATGAAAGGACCTGTGCCGGGTGTCAGCTCAGACAGACAGG